ACGAAGTCTCAACGTCCTGTCTTCCAAGGAGCATTCTGACAGTGCTAATACTAGCCTCTTATTACTGCATTCAGCATTTCCTTACACTGGAGCTAGGAATTCCACACTTAGACCCACCTTCACTGGAGATTTCTGAAAAAGTGCATTTCGGTCGCATGCCTTTTGGGCTCTGTGAGCTGCCCTTACGGAATAAAATTTGATGATGGCATAGAAGCCAGGTCCAGCCCCTGCAGCATTTGGGAAGCCGTGGCCTGAATACAGATGGTCAGACTCGGAGCATACTGTGAACAGAGAATGCTGTGGAGAGAGAGGTCCCATGCCAAGTAAGGGATGGAAAACAAAAGGACTCACATCCCCCAAGCCCTTCTCCACAGAACCTGCAACTCAAAACACTTCTCAGTTCACGAACAAGTCTTCTCTTCAATATTAAAATCTGAGAAGTATTAGAAAGAAGGTAATCCGTGCTGGTGTGGAGAGCTGCATCTCTGGATCTCTGCTAAATCCACTGGGGCCAGGTGCCGGGTCCATCCTAGAACTAAGGCTCCTCTTGCATTGCGTTCAATACGGCCCAAAATTAGGGGGGATGACAAAGCAGGTGAGGAAACCAAAGCAAACGAACTGCCATCTAGTTGATTGCCAGACCCTGTATGACGAGGTAGAACTGTCCTCTAGGGTTTCCAAGAGTGCACATCTTTACAGAAGCAGCCTGCCTCAGCTCTCTCCGGCACAGCGGCTGGTGGGTTCCAACAGCCGACCTGCTGGTTACCAGACAAACGCTTCAACCACTGCGCCACCAGAACTTCTCTGGTGAGGAAACGGGAGGCAGCAATTCAGTGGGCGAGGTGGTAACTCGGGAACTTCGGGGCTACCAGTGAGTGAGTGGGAGGCTTTCCCCATCCCTCCCTCCACCTTGGCCCAGCTCACATGTAAATCCTTGGCCCCTGGCCGACAGCTCAGCTCCCACACTACCGAAGTTTTATCACTGCCTGTGAGAGGGGCTAACAAGGTCAACTCCGCCATCCTGCCGCAAGGGCGCTTGCGCGACTAACAATCACGTACCACTGCGCTTGCGCAAGGAGCACCCGCGAAGTTATTAGAGACCGCGCACGAAGGTCAGTACAAGTTCGCTGTGCGTGAGTAGTGGGAGCTGTTGGAGAGACGGAGTGGGTGGTCCCCGACCTCTCCTCCTTCGCCCCGCCCACCCCAGGTCGGCCTCGGAGCCTAGCTTCCGTCCAATCCCACCGCCCCAACCTCGGAGTTGAGTGCTTTTATTAAAGTATATTTTAAAATTTGGGTCCTATGGGTGGGCTTACAGAATCAAAGGATGACGCCATATTTATAATTGCCGGCTTCATCTTCACTTTTAGAGAAGGAGACCACAGAATTAGGTAGAGCTATTTACTGAGCTTTAAAAAGATTTAAGTCGGAAATGACCACTGAAG